AAATATTTGCAAATATGTCACTGAATTCTTTTTATTAGGCTCCTTTATTATTCAGTGGCTTTATATGCTTTATGATCCTGTTTCAGTAAATGCATAAAATTAAACTACTCTGATACATATTTGTGAATTATTCATAGTACATATTTACTAAGGGTAATGGACTGCAAATATTACAAAACCATTACTTTAGTAAAGATATGTATAGTTATTGACATTGACATAACAAAATACAAATTTCTGTATTTTTAACATTTAGCACTAACATTACTCTTTTCATCCAGAGAATTCAAAGAATTATTTTAAATATATACTTTAAAAAATGTAATAAATAAGGTGGTGATAAGAAGTACTTAAGAAATTAAACAAATTAAATATAATTCTACTCTCAAATGGGCCCCTGTAGAACTGGCACTATGTGGTTTCAGTATACATTTTGTTCGTGTCTTTCCACATGAAATAGCTTTATTTCCTACCTCCTAGACCTGAAAATTCATCCTGGAGTCTGAGTCAGGTTGAGTTCTTTCTGTCTCACACATCACCACCAGTGAGTCAGGTTGAGTTCTTTCTGTCTCACACATCCCCACCAGCCACAGGGGTTCTGCTGACCAAGTTACAGACACACCTGTGCAACTCCAATTTGCTTAAATTATATCATCAGTTAACTCAATGAAAACTGACTAATAATACAGATGCACAGTAGAGATGTGCGAAGCTTCAGTAGCCAATTTGATTCAGAGGAGATTTAGCCCAATTTGGTGGCCGAATCTCTGAATCCGAATCAAAACAGAAGGCCCATTAGTCTCTCTGAATCAAATCAGAAGCCTATGAATTGATTCTGAGAGATTCGGAGATTCGGTCATAGACTGTACAGGCAGGCACTAGGCAGTGCTGGTGGGAGCAGCTGGGGAGGCGCCCGATGAGTCCTGGCTTGAGCCGGCAGCCCCAGGAGTAGCCATGGCTCATCCAGCTGCTCCCCCAGCTCTCCCTCACCCAGGGCAAGGAAGGCAGTGCTGGCAGCCCTGGGAGAAGCTGCAGGGCCTGGGGGGAATGATTGGGAGCTGTGGGATTGAACCGGGAGCTGGGGAATCAAAGCAGGAGCTGAGGGGAATGATCAAGGGCTGGGGGAATGAACAGGGGCTTCCCCCCAGCTCCCTGATCATTCCCCCCAGCCCCCATGGCTTCTCTCGGGGCTGCCGGCTCAAGCCACAGTGCATTCAGCTACTCCCCTCACAGGGGCAAGGCAGGCAGTGCTGACAGCCCCAGGAGAAGCCATGGGAGCTGATCAGCGAGTTGTGGGGAGTGACTGAGAGCTGGGGGATGGAATTGGGAACTTGGGAATCAAACTGGGAGCTGGAGGGAATGATTAGGGGCTGGGGAAACAAACAGGGGCTTCCCCCAGCTCCTGGTTCAATTCCCCAGCTCCCAATCATTCCCCCCAGCCCCCACAGCTTCTGCCAGGACTGCCATAACTCCCTGCCTTGATCCAGCAGTGGGGCAGCTGGGGGAGCAGCCAGACAAGCCACAGCTTCTCCTGGGGCTGCTGGCTCAAGCCAGGGCTCATCCAGCTGCTCCCTCCAGCACTGCCTGCCTGTATATTCTATGGTCGAATAAGATTCAGTGCCAAATATCTTCAGATTCGGCCAAATTGAATCAGGACAGTGATTTAAATCACCGAATTCGAATCTGAAGCAAATACTTTCTGCTTCGAACAGGCCTAATGCACAGGTGACCAAGATACTTTTTGGTATAGAACTGAGCTTTTTGGTTTCTTCCTTATTATGAAGTCAGTCTTGTACCATATCTTACATAGAACTATTGTATGGTACATCTTGAACTAGTGATGGATTAACATGAGTTATTTGCTAAACAATGGGTCCTTATCCTCATCCCATCTAATTCATTAGCAACACACTCAGTGCTTTCAATAGGACTGGATTCTTGTAGCAGATCAAGAAAAGACCTGTGTGACTAGAGAGAAGACTGTTCATTGGATGCTTACATTTACTCAGAACTACTCTCTGATGTAGTTAAAATCAACAGACCTACACCTATGTAAAACAAGTACTGAAACAGGAGAAAAAAAGACCTTATACTTAACCATACTGGCTTGCAGCTGGACAAACTGCTTTCCTAAGGATGGTGGTTAGAAATCCTTCACTGGAGAAGAGATAGCCTATATTTATGTTTTATAAATAGGTTTTCTGCTTGTAGGTGTTTTGGGTTGGTTTGGGGTTTTTTTGCGGGGGGGGGGATCATTTCAACCAGTTTTTCAATAAATCATGGTTCATGAGGCTAAAAAGTTGTTTGTTGTTTTTTTAAAGAAAACAACTAAGATTTGTTTAAAATTGCTCTTTTTTTAAGGCAGTAACCACTATATCAGTGGAAACAGTACATTTGCAAGCCAATAAAATGATAAACTACAAAATAAGTGCAAAAAAGTAAAATAATAATAATGGTGCTGGCTTTTAAATGTGGTTACCAAAACACAGTAAAGTTATGTAACTAGAGAAACATTAAAAACAAAATCCTATTAGTCACAAATAGTTGGTTCCTTAACTAACAAGTTCCTTTGGTAGGTGTCATCACCACATCATTGTTTCTTAGGAGTAACTGTCTGATTAGCTCAATATCCCAACCAAGCCTTTGATTTCTTTCTATCCCAGGGCTAAGACAACTGGTTTTCCAGCTATTAGAATCATACTTTTCCTAAAACTAAGCAACCCATTTCTATTCAATTGGATTCAAACTTTGGGTAGGTTTTACCAACTGGGAATCTCTACCAAAAGATAAATTCCTAATACAGTATTAACCTCATAAATCCAGGTATCAAAAATCTGACACTTTCTAAGCTTCCCCCTCCGTTCCCCCAGATGCAGAGAGGGAAGCTTGCGAACAGTGGCTGCTGCCGCCATC